GTGGGTGTGGGTGTGGGTGGGTGGGTGGGTGTGTGTGTGTGTCTGTGTGTGTGTGTGCGCCTAAAGGTATCTTGTATACAACCTTTGCATAATAAATTTACTGTGTTAGAGTCTTCGATATGGCCAGGTAGCACAAGCAAATTACATATCATGTTATGTATAACCACCTCCGGATAACATATTGTAGACACCGGGCTATGAACGTGATGAGTGACGTAATATAAGGGTATGGTGCATTCGGCTGTAACGTCCAGCACCTAAAATGCAATGGGGTATACCTCCACGTAAACATACTCTATACACATGTTCTAAGTACATGTATAAGTGCATCTAAGATGTATGCGAGCATTGATGACATACGCACCATGCCGCACAAAAAACGATGCGCAATGCTTCTTGAGGCTTGTACAAAGCTCTGTGATATTGCTTCCACTCTTGCTGTGTGCTGTCGAGAAGCAGGCATGACGGGACATCACAGTCACATGAAAGCAGCACCCGAAACACCCTAAACTCTAAACCCTGAACCCTGAATATGCATAGAGAGCGGCCCATGTCGAGCCCGTTTTGGGATAGCTCGTGATCCAGATGTCCTGATCCAGGATACGACTTTCCCACCAGGACGCGCAAGCATGTGACTTGCCTAACGAAGGCCCTTCAAACAGGATGAAGATAATCTAAACAACAGGTACACTTGTATAGACTATAGAAATAACCATGCCCGACTCAAAACAGCGAGGACTCACGCAGGAATTTGGATTCTCGGCCGCAGGTGCGTGAAGGATTCATCGTTGAATATACTCCCCGAAAGACCGGGGCAAACTCGTGACTATAGGGGCCGTAATAACTAGAACTAGAATAAGCGTCATATCTATAGTCGGCAGCCCTGAGGAACGATATTCGCATTGATTCAGGCTTCTATATAACCTGAGAAACTTCGCTGAAAGGTATGAAAAGAAGGAAGAAGCAAGCAGCCTTGATGTTCACGACAAGACATGACCGAGGTTGTAAGTACCCGAACTTGAGCAAACCCTAGACCCTAAACCCTAAACCCTAAACCCTAAACCCTAAACCCTAAACCCCTAAACCCTAAACCCTAAACCCAACAGGCATTCGTCACTAATAGCTTGTGCCACATGGAATTCCTAGGGGCCCCACAGACCCTGGACCCTCAACCATGGACTCCAAACACCCTAAAGGAAAACTGGCACAACGGAGCCCTAAACCCTAAACCC